GTGATTTTATCCTTACTATAAAAAGAATAAATCAGTATCTTTTATTTGACCTCGCTGTAACATAAATGAGTTTAAAATGACAGCCCTGAGAATGTGTGTTGGGGGGGGGGGGGGGGGGGGGTGATGCTGTTTTTGGTGTGTGAGAGAAGATGTTTAAGGTAAAAATAGTGAACTACATGCAAACCGCAACTCCTTCGCACACAGAGGAAGAGAGGCTACTTGTGAATGTAAAATGATTTCAGCTCAGTCAGCTGGTTGCAGTGTAACAGGAACAGTTGAGCCATTTCGTCAGAACCATGGATGAATAATAATCTGGTCAACATGTGTTCAGGTACGAGTCTGGAAAGAGTGGATCTTATTTCAGGAGTCAGCAGATTGTTGCATGTTGTGGATCATAAAGAGAAGTTTAGGAGGTTTACTGTGAAGAAGCAGACGAAGAGATGAAGTGTGTGAAATATATGAAGCTGAAGAGCAGAAATGAAATGCGACATGTGCAGTAAATATCTCTCCTGATGTTTAGGGACGTTGCTCTAAATCTTTGTTAGACCGAGACACCAGCTGTCCAACAGCAGCAGCCTTTCATATTGTTCTGATTTTCTCCCAGGTCCAATAAAGAGATCTGAATTCTAACACGTGATGTTTAAAGCAGAGTCCTACCTGAGCTCCACAGCAGCAGCAGCAGCACCAGGTGATCCATGTCCAGGTAGACCGTCTCTCTGGCCGTCCGCCTGCTCTCTGCTCTGATCATCGTGTGCTGTCCTCAGTGTAGATCTGTGGACAGGAAGAGGTGGAGCTTTACTGGAACACAGCTCATGTAGTTGTCTTTAGTTCCACAGTGAAGACTCCTCGTCAGACTGAGTCTCTGTCAGGATCAGGGTTTCTGTCGGCCGTGTTCATAACCTGGTGTTTGTGAGGTCCTGTGTGGCAGATTCATGTGGGCTCTGAGAATCGCTCTCAGTCTGGCCCCTCACCTGGGTCATGTGCCCTGGGAGACCCCGCCAGGAGTCTCCCACTATGTTTTTCGACATACACAATATATTTGACGTTATCATAGAATAGAGTTTTTGGAAAAGTTCCACTGAAGCTAAAATAAAAATAGATTTGTGTTGTAACCACAGACTATAAACATTTGGTGTTGCATTGGTTCTTTTGCACTTGCTTGTTGTGACATCTTGGATCTGGGGATTTTTAAAAAACTGAAACTGCAAAAATAGCAAGTGGATAAATTTACCACAAGTCAGCAGTCTCCCTACTTTGTTATTCAGCTTAAATGTTTGCACATACAAATCTGATGGACATAAAAATAAACTGCCAGTAAATAACTGACATATTAAACAGTCTTCATAATTCTTTTAGATTTTGTATCATGTCAGCATATAGGTTTGTTTGTTATGCACCAAGTCACCAGAGCAAATTCCTTGTCTGTGTAAACCTACTTTGTACTAAAGCTGACTCCGATAAATAAAACATGTTAATAGTCTTTCGGTCATCCTTAGTTTTTTATGTGAGAACTTACATCTTCTCTCATTACATTGTCCTCAAACGTTTGAGATTTTCACATAATATGTCTATTGTGTTGCTTGGGAACTTCACCTGTCAATCTTTTGTTAAAACGATGAGCAACGTCATGAAAACGTGCCGCTCCTCTAACCATATATATATATATATATATATATATATATATATATATATACACACACACACACACACACTTTTTTAGTTATAAAAAAGTGTGTGTGCATGTAGAGAAAAGTGGACCCATCATTCCTTTTACAGACAAAGGGTGGGAAAATGTTTTCATTCAGTGTTTCTATAGAAATATCTTGAAACCAGAGGGAGAGGCAGTGTTCACCTCTTTCGGTCACAGGAGCGAGGCTTGTGCACATCTAGCTGCAGAGGACACTGCTGAGATGAAGAGAAGCACAACATAATTCAGCCTCTTGCTTCTTCAGTCCAGTTATGTGCTCAGTAACATTAAAACTACATCCATTAAAAACAGAGAGCAGGCTGTTGGCTCCTTCTCATCTCAGATGATCTATTCATTTTTACACAGCTGCTGCTTTTCCCCTCAGCTGGTGGACAGAATATGTGTTGAACAAAAATTACTGCCCCTCATTTCTGCCACACAAACACCAATTTAATATTTTATATAAACTGGATGATCTGAGGTTAAGGCAGTAGTCATAAGAGAACAGAAACAAATGTGAAAATCATGGTCAGTATAACTTCTGCTTTTGTGGTGCAAAGAACCAAAAAAAGACACATATGGAGAGAAGTATGTGTGTGATGTTGGTGTGTGTGAGAGGCTGTTTAGGGTTAAAACTGGGAAATACTGCACACTCTGCCACCCTAGCCTGTGTCAAACACACGTCACAAGCTACTTGTGTGTGAATGTAAAATTATTTCCTTCTCCTTCAGGTTGTTGCAGTGTAACAGGAACAGTTGAGCCATTTTGTCAGAACCATGGATGTATAATAATCTGGTCAACATGTGTTCAGGTGCGACTGACAACACGGCGGTGGTGGACTATTTGAATCACCCCCTGACCTCCCTGTCTGCGCTCGCGCCCGTTATGCAAGCTGGCACATCAGATCCTCCTGTGGTCCCAGCAGAGACTGCAGTCCCTCAGAGCGACATACGTCCCTGGGACCCAGAATCAGGGAGCAGACCTGCTGTCGAGACAGGGGCTGAGGCTCGGGGAATGGAGACTCCACCCCCAGGTGGTGGAGTTATTATGCAAAAGGTTCCGCTCCATAGACGTGGACTTGTTTGCGTCTCAAGAGATGACGCACTGTCCCCTGTGGTTCTCCCTAGCGGGGGTTGAATGCCATGGTACAGACGTGGCCGAGGCTGCGCCTGTATGCTTTTCCCCCAGTCGCTCTGCTCCCGGGGGTTCTGGAGCAGGTCCGTCAAGACAGTGTCAGTCTACTGCTGGTAGCCCCGTTTTGGCCGGCCCGAGTGTGGTTATCGGACATAATATCGCTCCTCGAGGGCCCGCCATGGCTGTCTCAGCCGGAGGGCCAGGTCATTCACCCTTGCCCCGCCCTGTGGAGACTGTGGGTCTGGCCCCTGAGGGGGCCCAGTTCCTGGAGGCGGGCCTAACACCGGGGACAATCGAGATGCTGCTCAGCTCCAGAGCCCCGTCCACGAGAAGGACGTACGGCCTGAAGTGGAATGTGTTTGCCACCTGGTGTAGAGAACGGGCGGTGGACCCAGTTACCTGCCCCCTGACTATGGTACTGGAGTTCCTCCAGGACCGTTTCTCTGCTTGCCTTTCCCCGTCCACACTCAAGGTGTATGTGGCTGCCGTGGCAGCGTTCAACACACCTCTGAGGGATGGACCTCTGGGGAGGCTTCCACTGGTCATGCGCTTCCTCCGTGGAGCCCGGAGGATGAGACCCGTGACTCGTTCCAGGGTTCCCACTTGGGACCTGGCAGTGGTTCTCGAAGCGCTGGCTGAGGCCCCCTTCGAACCCCTGGGGTCGGCTGAGGCCAAGCACCTGACCCTTAAGATGGCCTTTCTCCTCGCTATCACCTCTCTGAGGAGGGTGGGGGATCTCCAGGCACTTTCGTTTTCTCCTCAATGCCTGGAGTTTGCCCCGGGGAGGGTCAGAGCCATCCTGCACCCCTGTGCGGGCTATGTCCCTAAGGTTCCGTCAAGGTTGGCAGGGTCTACGGTGCTGTAGGCGTTTCATCCCCCACCTCATCTGACGGTGGAGGACGGGAGACTTCATCTGCTCTGCCCGGTCAGAGCACTGAGTATTTACACTCTGAGGTCCTCCCGGTGGAGGAAAGCAGACCAGTTGCTGTTGTGTTTTGGGTCCCCCAAGGCTGGGCTCCCCGCTTCTAAACACACGATCAGCAACTGGATTGTTCAGACTTTTTCCCTGGCCTATCAGGTGCGTGGGTCACCTTCACCAATGGCCGTAAGGGCGCACTCTACTTGAGGCAGGGCGGCCTCTAGGGCCCTCCTCGTAGGGGCTTCGCTCCAGGATTTGTGTGAGGCAGCTGGCTGGGCCACTCCTCACACTTTCATCCGGTTTTACAGTCTGGACCTTCCTTCTGCACCCGGCACCCGTGCGCTCTCCTCCTAGTCGTGCCTACAGGTTTCTGCATGCTGGGGGGGCAGCTGGAGGCTTCGGCGTAGAATAGTGGGTATTCTCTTTCCCATAGTGTCGTCACCGACGCAGTTCGAGTTCCCTCGAAGGGGAACGTCTCGGGTTACGTATGTAACCCTTGTTCCCCGAGAAGGGGAACGAGACACTGCGTCAGTCGGCCACACCTCGCCCCGCCTGGAGTGCCTTGCTTCATAGCAAAGAGCTAATGTGTCCGGTGTGCCGGCGTGCTTATATATGCCTCCGGTTACGCCGTCACACGCTACTGTTTTAGCAACGCCAATAGGATTGGAGTAGTTTCATTCATGATTTCAGCCCTGCCACGCCCAGAGGCGTTCCCATAGTGTCGTCACCGACGCAGTGTCTCGTTACGTAACCCGAGACGTTTTTGACGGTAAAGGTAGGTGTATGATATTTAACAGAGACTACAAGACACAGGGTACAGGGTATATACAGGAACCCTGAAGTAAAATTCAATACCTTTTAAGACCTTTTTCACAGTTCTGGTTTCTGTTTGTAGTGCGACCAATCAGGTTTGCGCGGGCTTTGGTTGCATGAAGGTAAACAGTCCGTACAGAAAGCAAAAGAGGCGGAAAGCATCGGCCCAAATGAACTCTGGGAACCCTTCAGCTATCATCTATATCATCTTTTTATTATCTTTTTAAAAATGTATTAAATCCAGGAGACTTTCCTGTTGAAATACTAATAATTACTGTCATTCAAGATGTCATACATTTACCTGAGCAGGTGAGATGCAGGATCAAGGGAGAGGGACCTGTTTCTACACACTCCCTCAGAGCAGATCCAGACTGAACACAGAGAGACATGATCCACCACACATCAGAAGAGAAATGAACCAAATCAAAGCTGCAGCTCCTCTTCTACCTGAGCAGGTGAGTCCAACAGCTTTTCCAGGTGAGCAGGTGTTTCTAGCTGAGCCTGAGCTTCTACAGTCCAGGAGAGCAGACTCATGGCCTCCACACTGGAACTCTTTGGTCCACATCGGAGCCTCCACTTCTCCATAGAGCGCCCCCTGGAGGACTGAAGGAGCCCCACAGCCAAGCTCCCTACAGACCACCTCTGCATCCTGCTGGTCAAAGTCAGCTTCACACACTGAGGACCACCTCTGGTTAGACTTCACCTCCAGTCTGCCTGAGCACAGACTAGTCCCGTCCAGCAGCCTGACAGAGTCTGGAGAGATAAAAGATGAAATAGAGATAAAGACAGCAGACACAAAAGAAAAACATGTCATGAAACAACAATTCAGTGATTCAAGGTGGACTCAGCACAACTCCAACATCAGTTCATCATTAACAACAGAACACATCTTTCTACCAGCACAGACTGCAGCAAGTTCACCAGCACATTTCCATTTAATACTCTGTCACACTTGTTCTCCACATCTGAACACTTTCAACATGTTTCCAAACAACAGCACAACATCATCTGCAGATTTCTCTGCTCTGTTCCTTCTGCTCAGGTTCTCCACAATCTTTGCTCTCCACACAAACAAGTTCAACACTTTTCATTCTGTCTTAATGTTCTAAGAAGATCTGGAACCCAGAAGAAAAACCACCCATCCATTGTCAACATATCCTGCGTACAGGGTCGCGGGGAGCTGGAGCCAATCCCAGCTGGCACTGGGCGAAAGGCAGGGTCCACCCTGGACAGGTCGCCAGTCCATCACAGGGCCACACATAGACAAACAACCCCAGAAGAAAAACCTGCTTAGAAAATGCTCCAACAACTCAAACAGGGATAGGGGCTGGACTCAAATTAGCTTTATTGGCCTGAATGTATAACAACAATATTGCCAAAGCTAAATATAAAGTGCATATGGACAATTAATTTCATACATTTCATTAGATAAGAAAATAAAAACAGCAAAAGTTGTGTTTGCGTGTGTTAATACAAAATAAAAATATATAAAATATAAAAAATTTTGTGGCATTCACCAACTTTCTCAGTTGCCTGTAACAGTCTGTATGGGCCAACAGTTTTCTATGTGAAGGTCAGATTTCTTGCGAAAAGCAACTGTCTTACATAAACTACGACGTTTATGTACGCAATATTCATGCAAATCATGTGAAACACAGTGTAATTTTGTGTTTTAGTTGGTTTGAACTAGATAATGTCAGCTTGCCTGCAATGATGTGTGTAATAACTTTCATCGACCACTTGATCAATACAACAAAATTCAAACAGGCCAGAAGGGAACAAAGATGAAGAGAATAAACTGAGCGATGAATAACATAAGTAGTGTAGGCGGTATAGCACAGATAGAACCTGGAGGAGGAACTAGTCTAAATGACTGGATTAGTATAATATTATAACATTAAATTAAAAGTATATTGTTAATTTAATAGTAAACTGTAAGTTTGACATTAATATATTCATTATGCTACTATATTCAATATAATTTCATATAATAGTATATAACTTACCACTAGTATAATATTAATTCAAATTACAGCTGCTTCAGTTTGGGGTTGTTTTTTACTCATTAACTATGTGCAAGAAAAATGCTCCAGGCTACATGATAGTCTCCAAGCTTGATTTTGGGCAGGCTACTAACTCATCAGTAATCATAACTGTTTATGCAGAACACTGAGTTCAACATTTATAAAGTTTGTTGCAGCACATCAAACTAAAAAAAAAAAAAAGAAAAAAGAGTGAAATAGGCGCTCGGTAGATCCCTGCGCCTAACGTTACAGAAAGGAATCACAGTCGCTACTCCCTGCCCGTCTAGTATTTTGGCCACGCAATATAAATAAATTTGTACACCTACACTTTTAGCAAACAAACTTCAAAATTGAATACCTTGTTAAATGGCGATTAAGAATTTTTAATACTTTTTAATGACCTTAATTTTTGCAAAATTGATTTATCACCTTTCAAGACTTTTTAAAACACCCTGGTTTCTGTGTCTGATATGAATTCGGGGTATATTTGGGAAATGTTTTATATTGAGGGCTAGAAAGTGCAGCTCTGTCTCTACCTGACCCTGTCACAGTAGGAACAGAGTCTCTCCTAGCCAGCTCTGTCTGTGGCGGGCCAGACTGTGTTCACTCAGTCTGTCTCTCCTTTGGCCCAGGGGCCTCCTGAAGCAGCAGACATGGATGTATACAGTATCTCACAAAAGCGAGTCCACCCCTCACATTTTTGTAAATGTGTGATTATAACTTTTCATGTGACAACACTGAATGACACTTTGCTACAATGTAAAGTAGGAGGATGGGTGAACCAGAAACTGGACTTTTACTCCATACACCAGTTTGTTACCCCTGTGAAATATAGTCAACACTGAATGTTTTTATTTAAGTTACGTAGGTTACGAAAGTTGCGTAAGTTGTGCAAATAACGTTATTTAATTAACTCCCATAAGGAATGTTTTTTAACGAATGGCATGGCCTTTAAGTTCCAGTTTCCTCTCTCTGTGTGAGGCTGGTCAGGGGATGGTAAGGCGCAGGTTTCTCCAAATACAGATGTGATGAATTGGGGATCACTTGTCTATAAAATCATCATCACCTTCTTAATGGTGTTCGGTTTTGGAACAGATGAAAAGGCTTGTATGCATTGGGGGAGAGAGATTTAGTCCCACTGTGATCACATTCCCAGAGAAGTTTTTCTGTCTATTCGAATTGCAATTGGAGACAGACAGACAGACAGACAGACAGACAGACAGACAGACAGACAGACTAGCCTTGTGTGTGGTCACTGTGGGCTTAAGGCATTAGTAACACAATGGCCATGGAAGCATGTTTCATCTGTGATGGACTGCAGTACAAAATGTACAAAGGCCTCTACCAAGTCTCCAACAGAGAGACGTGTGATAACTGATGTAATAAATAATGGGACATTTTCAGACCTGTAGTGCTCGCGGCTGCACCACTGCACTTTCCACCACTGTTCCTCTCAGATGTTTCTCTCCTGGAACATCTGGGTGCGTACAGGTCCCTCCAGCCTGCAGCAGTGAATCAAAAGAAAACATGTTTAATACTAAGAAGCGCTTCTTGTTTTAGGAGATGTCATTTCACATCAAATCATCAAAAAAATCAATCAGCACCAAAGGCATGAGGTCACAGTTGAATGTTTAACTATGGTGTGTGTTCCGGCCGCTGTTAGCAGCCGTTGTATTTGGTTGCTGTTTGTGTGTGTTCCCAGTATACTTAGCAGGCTTTCCAACCACGGCTGAGGATTGGCTGGTGTCGGTGAGGACCTGTCTGTTCCCGCTTACATCCATGGTCCTGATTGGAGCAGCCCTAAGACCGTCCACCATTCTGCGAGCTGTGGTTGGGGCGTGCTGCTTTTACTGAGCCTGACTTATGTGTACTGTGTGCTCGTTCCAGCAGCTTCACTTCTGTGGGCTGCTTGTGTTTGTGATCTGCTGCTAGTACTAAGAGTCAGTGTTTATTTTGTTCAGAGTAGACTCTGTGGCAGCAGTTTATTTCACTACTGAGAGTCAGTAAGTGTTTATTTTTGTTTAGAGACACTCTTGAGTTAGTTGTGTTTAACCGTGTGTCTGCAGAGTTGGGCTCGGTTTTAGAGTAATACTGACACCCACGCTACATGTTTAGGATTTCTCTTTGTTTAGCTCTTCAGGTTTAGGGGTGCTGCGCTCCCTGTGTTTGTTTTTGAGACTCCCAAAATAGAGGCTTTGTTTTCATTTTGGTTTCTGACTTAGTAATCCCGGTTTTGGAGGGATCTCTTTTTGTTATCTTCTGTTTATGTTTTCGCAGCACCCACTTGCCCAACTTTAGTTGTTTAAACCTTGTAAACTCTCGTGTGAATAAATAACTTTCCCACCGTACCTCGGTACATCTGGTTTATACGTACTTCCCTTTGTGAGCTGGGACGTAACAGTGTGTAAGAAGAGTTCAGCGGTTCTCTTAACCAGAGCAGTGCTTTTTGCTGTACAGGGTTCTCGGATCCCAACTCACGGGCCTGTTCTCAGTCAGCCGACTCCTGGTGGACCTCCATCCTCACATCCCTCCATTTCCAAATCACTTTGCATCTGTAGCGATGGTTGTTCAGTCTTGGCCACCGGTGGTCTTAACGACTGTAACGACTGTCGTCACAGCAACCAGGAACACTAACGAACCAGCGGTATCGATGACCCGGGCCAACGACCCCACTGAGGTTAAATAGCTGAGTTTCCCTGCCAGTCAGTCAGAACTGAAGAAGTCCTTTGGATGAGGGACGAAACGTCTTCCAGTATCTTCAAACAAGTCCAGTTGCCCTTGATTTTAACCTTCGTTGGAGAACTATGACCTGGATGACTGAGAATCTTCATAGACATCTTGGCATCTGTAGACACCGCCCTTGGTACAGCTAAGATTAGAGGAGATAAAGAAACCAAACAGCGGCAGCCCCCCCTCGTCCAGATTATCTGTTGCATTAAATTAAAAAAAAGACAATTTTTACTGTCCCTATTTCATAAATCATCAAAATAAAATGGATTCCTGAGCATCAAAGCTGTGTACTCTGCAGTGAGTCTATCATGTGTAGAGAGTGTGTGTCACGCTCGCTCCCAGCAGCAGCTGTGTGTTTACAGAAGTCCTTCATTCAGTGCTCTGATAACTGAAATAAGGTTTAATTACTATGTCTTCAAATTCAGCAACCTGCTACCATAGATTTCCTTTTACAGGCCTCCTGACTGCCCCTCTCTGTTTCCCACAGACGATGCAGCAACATTTTCACCTGCTAGGTTAAAATCTACCGACTCTTACTTTGGCAGTTTAATAAACTCTTTGCGGTCATCATTCATCACAACTGAAGGCTGTTCAGGTTTATTATTGTGACTCCCCCACTGTGTGTGTGTCCAGCTGTATCCTGTCACTAGTGTCCGTCCCCTCCAGCTCAGTCCAGGTCTCCTTTTGATCTGTCCAGACAATCTCTGTATGTCCACTTGTGCCCACTGTACAGTCCGTTTCCTCGTAGCTGATTAAAAACCTCAGAAGGATAAAAGTACACTTTGATTAAATAGATATTCCGCAAAATAACTCAAATAGTTTCTCAGTATCTCAGACTTTCCAATATTATTAAGAGGATGCGAGTTTATTTTATTCCCTAGGAACACAAGGCAGGGGAAAGCTCAGTTCACTCACTGATCTCGATCTTCACCTGGTTTGTGGCCATTTGGTTGCTCCTGCACTCGTTTGCAGTGGGCAGCATGAATCCAAGTTGCTCTTTCTGCCACCGTCACTGCTGACAACATTTTTGGAGAAGTTATAGAACCCCTTTGTGAACCAGTATCTGTTTAGTTTCTGGGTCATACTCCCTTTTGATACATGGCCTTTGTGTCAACTAAGCATAATGAGGAAACATACTTAGGCAGACTTCTCATCTGGGTCGTACGGCACTTTGTCAGCCTGCTCTTTTCCAAACAGCTCTCTCCTCTGGAGTTGCCCTCGTCAGTGGCAGATGTCAGTTAAACAATACATTGAGAGATTAATGTTTGTTTTGGTCCGCTGTGGCGTTCCCCTGTGAGATAAGATCCAAACCGTTAGTGTGAGCGTTACATTTACAGCATCAAGAAAAAAACTTCTCACCCCATGAGTTGTGACTCTTTTTTGCATATTTACATGCTTCTGTCAACTAACTCCGCTGCTTCTGCAGAATAGTATTAGGAAGGAAGTGGTTTAGCCACAGTTGTTACTGCAAGACCTGCTTCATTTTTAACAGTTGCTGGGTCACGTGATGCTGATCTGTCCACAAACAACTCCCTGTTTGTTAGAAGTGTCTCCTGTAAGTCTGCCCTTGGGGAGCTAGCTTCTGTTATCACTGCAAGATAATCATGCTGCAGTCCTTCATCTGGAGTTGAGAGGAGAGTAGCAGGATTTAGTACAGTGCATCTTCTAACAGTGATGTTAGACAAATCAAGCAGCACAGTGTTGTATCTCAGCCACCTGGTTGAAGAAAGATGAGATGTTTTCTGTTCAAGCAAAATCACTGACACATGTGGAACCAACAAATTAAAATCTGTAGAACCCACAATGTCACATGCTGCGATGACAGCTTTTCCAGTTTGGATGAAAAATTGGCTACTGGCCTAAGTTGTCCCACATGGTCCTGCTGCAGCACTGAAGTGACCTCCCTTCTTGTCAACTGTGAAAGGTTTGTTGTGTAAGTAACTGCAAGAAAAACCTTTGAGGCCTTCCCATGCCCAGTTTCTGCCCATGGTGCCTTAACGTTCGCATCATTTGCTCACACACCATCATTACCAAAAAGTTAATTTACCTGTTTCTTTGTCTCTGATTTTGGGATGGTCCCCTCTGCAGTGATCACATGACCCAGTAATATATATTATGAAACAGACTGCAGTTTAGATACTGTAGCTTTATGGCCATTATCAGGAAGGTGTTACATTTAGAGACATCCTTCACAAAGATTTGTTTGTCATGACTTGTTTTATCATCTGTTATCTAATTTGGCATCAGAAAAATCTGCTTTCACTACAGCAAAAATTTTTTAACACCTCACTGGAGACATGCCATGTGCCAGCCTGCTTTAAATCCTCCACCATCATCCCTGTCCTTAAAAAACCAAGCAGCACAGGACCAAACGAATACAGACCCGTCGCCCTGACCTCTGTGGTAATGAAGTCTTTTGAGCGACTTGTGCTGTCCCACCTTAAATCCATCATAGACCCACTCCTGGACCCCCTGCAGTTCGCTTACAGAGCCAAAAGGTCTGTAGATGATGCAGTAAACATGGCCCTTCATTACATATTAATATTATAATCTTTACTTATAAAGCACTTTGTGCAAAGACAAACACATAAAACAGATAACAAGTTACACAATAAAAGCAAGGAAACACTTAAGAAATTAAAAAAATAGTGAAAGGAAAATTAAATAAAAATCGACTAAAATCAGGAAAGGCTCTCCTAGAAAAGTATCTAAATCACACTGGGAGCCAGTGTGATGAAAACAGGTGATCATATTTCTTTTTTCTAGTTTGTCGGAGATCAGCTGACGGAAATGATTTGACAAAATATTTGACTGACAGACGCAGTCTTTAAGTGGGTTTAAGTACATCTGGGTGTCATCAGTGTGGAAACTGGACTGGACAGACCGAAGCCCACTACAGGAAAGGACGGGGCGGGCTGTTCTTCTAAACAGTACCAGAGATCCCCACCCAGCGCCTCAGTCTGTCTAACATGATGTTGTGATCAATGGTGTCAAAAGCAGCGCTGAGGTCCAGGAGTACAAGGACTGAGCACATGCCTTCATCAGCAGACATTCAAAGGTCATTGGTGACTTTAAGCGGAGCAGTCTTAGTGATGTGGTACTTCCTGAAACCAGATTGAAACCCCTCAAACCTTTTGATATTTTCCAGTGTGCAGAGCAGTTGTTTGACACTAGTTTTTCTAAACTTTTTGAAGTACAAGTAAATAAGCTGGAAATTTAAAGAGATAAACAGAAGTGCCTGCCTATATACAGCAGACCCAGCCTACTAGTCAGCACAGGTGCCTGCCAATCAGGTGATCAGCTTAGAAGGGCCAACAGGAAAACTCACTGTAGAACAGACCACTAAACCAAGTAAAACCAACTTTTCACTTTTGAGTAGATTTTTATACCTGAAGTTTTACTCGTAAGTAAAAGTTCAAAGTAATTGTACTTTTACGTAAATAGAATATTTTTGTATACTTTCCACGTCTGATGTTTAATAACTGATTAAAACCAACATCTGCACTCGTGTGTTCACTGTTGCTTTATCAGGGCCCTGTTTCAGAAAGCAGGCGTAACAAACTGAGCTTAACCCTGAGCTCTGAAGTTCCAGAACAGCCGATCAGAGTTAGTTCAGTCAACTCAGAATATGTTGAACTGATGGAAGCGCATGCGTGGGGATGAAAGAAATCCATCAACAATGGAGCTCCGATACTACGATTCTTCACAGCAACGGATAAATAAGGCAGAGCCTCCATTTTAAAATCGGTTGGAGCTAGAAATATGAATGAATGTTCACCAACGCAGACCAAAAAGTTGTGTTGCTGTGTGTGTCTGTCTGTCCCCCGCAGGTGTGTACGCGTGCCTGCTGAGTGACGCTGGGTGGAGCTCACAGCTGGTTCCGATCAAGGCCAATTAGTAGGCTATGTAAGCCGGGGACGGAACAAAGTGGGCTATTTATGTCAAAACGCAGGAGTGGAGAAGGATCAATACGTTTTTAACATTACATTTTATACAGTGTTGCTCAATCATTTGCCACACTGGACTTTCTCTAATGAAGGAAAAAGTTAACTCATGGAGCTGTGATTGTAAAGTCCGACCCAGTATGTTAGTCTGTTCATTATTTTTTTGCAGTAGAAAATGTGTCTATAGGATCAAACTGAAGTTTTAAACATCTGTTTTATGTTAATAAAATCTTGGCCATTATGTATTTTATGAAATGACGTCAAAACCCATTCAGACTGTAGCTAATAATGAAAAACTCACTTTTAAACTACATTTCTTTGTTTCAGCTGCACCACAGTCATCCTCACTCAGAAATATTCACATCATGTTGATAACTACGATAGGAATGTTCAATCTGTGCGACAATATCAAAGATTACTGTTCAGTGATCAGTTTTATACAGATTAGTTTAAACAGTGATTACTGCAGTAATGTAACCCACGGTGGTTCACAGAGTCAGTGTTACTATCTAGAGTTTATCTGATCTCGGTCTCAAGCAGAAAACCCGGAGTTTCCCTCATCTCAGGCTCAACATACGTAGAGTTTTCAGTAATCCCGCTTTCTGAAACAGGGCCCAGTTTAAGGCAGGACACTTTTTTCATGGAGTTGCTCTATTTGTTTCTTCTAATGGAAAGAAAACTTCTAATCTAGACCTTTAGATGGAGTTTGTTTAAGCCTACTACCCTCCATCTGTTTGCATCTGTAGATTTCTTCTAAATGAACTAAAACAAGTTAATCTGCATATTTCAAGAACAAAAAGGGGAAAAGCCATCAACTGAGGAAGTTCTGAGGTGATATGCTTTAGTTATGTTTATCCTATCCACTGCAGTGTCTTGTATGCAAATAATGAATGATAATTTATATATCAATGTGTTGATTGTGATGAGGTTATTAGACGAGCGAGAGACTCACCTCCAGAACGGATATTTTGTGTTTTTATTCAATATATTTGTTTGAAAGAGCACAAACTAAAAATATTATATACGCGTGGTGCTGCGACAACAACCCGCTGCTCAACACCAAGAAAACTAAGGGGCTCCTTGTGGACTTCAGGAGCAATGCTGACACTCATCGGGAACTGTTGCAGAAGGTGGTGAAATCCGCCCAGTGCATCGCTGCAGCCTCACTTCCTGCTATCAAGGACATCGGCAGGAAACTTTGTCTCAGGAGAGCAATAAACATTAGAGAAGACTCCTGCCACCTCGCACACAGACTGTTTGCCCTCCTGCCCTCTGGGAGGCGCTACAGCTGTCTCCCTGCTGAACTCTGCCCCCCCTTCACACACACCAGCCCCCATCCTGCATCCCCTCACATTCACACTCACCATCCTCCCCTGGACTGAACCAGCTACACTTACCTCAGTGACACTGCCATCATGGACTTTGACACCACTGCACTATTAACTGCACCTTCCATCTGAGCATATTGCACTACTGTACATTCTGTATCTACTCTAAATCAGGGGTCAGCAAATAAGTCAGACATCCGGCCAATTTTTAAGTCAAATTATTTCAAATCCTTGCGTACCTGTGTGCATGTTTAGCTCAGTCGGTACTGTGTGGGAGTCCCGTTAGGAAGGTTGATTCCAACTAACTGTGGGTATTTCTTGTCTTGTTCTTTATTAAAAAGGACACTTTTGCACATGCTCACGATAAAGCATGTGCTGCAGTTTGTGTTCGTCCCAGCGCTGGATCCACATTCATAAACCTGGACGCCTATTTTCATTTCCCTGAGGAAATTCAGGGAAATCCAATCACACGTTTACTGACAGCTTTTTCAGAGGGTGTCATGCAAGCCAGAGACTCTTCTGAATGTCCTTCAGAACTCTTCAAAGTAAAAGCTCTCAATAAACTTGTCATAAAGCATTGCTGCACAAAAAGTTGTCACACTTTTATTTTGGAGGCACAATCACTTAGGAGGAAGTGATTGTGTGAGTAACTATCTGTCATGACCGAGATCTGTTTCAGCACCAGCTGCTATCAATTTATTGATTTTTTATTTTTCTGCTATCAAAGCCGTGGGCCAGATATTATTGATTATTGCCGACCACTGCTGTAAATCATTCCCTTGCACTACTGTACATACTAATAATTCATACTGTACTGCCACAGTCATAACCTGTACCTACCTGTATCAATAGACATTCATGTAGACATTTATATTTATCTATCATTCATACCTTGCACTTTGTATACTAATGTATCGTGTTCTATTCAATTATTGCTTAAGCACTTCTGGTTAGATGCTATTTGCCTTTTTCTTGCTTTGGACCAGTGACATGTGCAATGACAACAAAGTTGACTCATACATAATAGTATACTCAAAAAAAAAAAACATCCCAGGAAAGAGAGCACATTCTCTTGAGGAAGAAAAAGGGCAGGCGCTGAAGCCCCTTTTGGTGTCTTTGTGTGCACATGCTGCTAGTTAATCACGTTCCATGCTCCGTGGTTTGCACCTGTGAAAGCTTTTAGGCATTTATTTTAGGCGAAGTAAAATAATTTTCATGTAAACCACATTGGACCTGGTCAAGATCAAAAACCAGCTCTCAAATCTGGACGAGGTTGTCCCAGAGAGGCTAAATCTTTTTTAAACAGTTTCGGATTTGTGAAACTTTTACTTTATTTGTGAAAATACAAAACAGGGAGAATTCACTGCTTTTCTTTTACAGCGAGTAGCCTGGCGACAATAATGCTAAACAAGCTCTGGGCTCTGCACGGAGCTCAGTCAGAATCAGAATGAGGTTTATTGCCATTTTCACATACGAAGAAACAAATATAGAAATATAAATATAGATAAACTAAAGTCATCAAAAATGTGCAAGTATAGGCTACAAAATATTACAATACTACTTTACTAACTTTTTCTGTTATGTTTTCTAATAATTATACAAATGGAAAAACTGTATAGAGTTAACTGTTAAGTATGTTTGGTTTGTGTGGGTTGCAGGTGGTGAGTCACTGCATTTGTGGTTCCCTTTTCCTTGTTTTATTCTGTTGGGCGTGACTTCAGTGAAAGGCTGCACTCATGTAATTGCTCATAGCTCCTCCCTTCAAGAGAGGAAATGACGAATAAGGGAATTGAGAAGAACCCCATGTCGTCTTCACCTGCACACAGTGTAAGCACGTTGTGCAACAGTCATAATTGTCCGTGCGAAACAAATTATTCTAATTTCTCGATAAATCGTTTCAGCCCTAGTCTAAGTGGGGCCTACACTATATTCCAATTTCTAGGCTGTGCCAGTTTCAGTCCAAGCCCCTCGCCCCTCACAAACTAAAAAGTAACGCTGAAACTAATAAATCTAAACTAAAACTAAACTAGCAAACCCACATTAAAAACTAATTAAATCTAAACTGGAAACAAATAGTAAGATGAAATAAAAATATAAACTAATCCAAAACTAAAATAACTTTGCTCAGGAAATGGAATAATGAGTGTTTTTCCTGTTTCCTGAATGTCTCCATTCTGCAGAGATGTATTTTAAAAAACCCGGGAAACTATGTTTTAAAGAATCTTCTGGTTTTTAATGTGGACCTGTTCTTATGTGGGTTAGGTACTTGAAAGAAAAGCAGTGAAATTTCCCTTTTTATTTAAGTTAAATAGCATAAAGGTTTTATAGATATTAATGTGTTACAGACTGGGTTAAGCCTTTCACAACAGTAAGAGGAGCACAACACAGAGGATCAATCACTCAGCAAAGTCACTTAACTTTCCTCCTAACTGCAGAACTGGAAGCTAAATTCAGCAGCAGCACAGTGAGCAGAGTCCTACCTGAGCTCCAGAGCAGCAGCAGCAACAGGTAGTCCATGTCCAGGTAGACCGGCCCGCTGGCTGTCCGCCTGCTCTCATCATCACACGGGCCGTCCTCAGTCTAGATATGGCTACAGAGAGGAAGTTCACTGCAGCTGCACGTTTGACCAGTGGGTCAGTTTACATCAAGTGGCGTCCAGCAGCAGAGGCGTTGTTATCCTTGCGGATGTCACTGAAACACAGACCTGAAACATTCAGACAGTCAGAGAAACAAACTGTTTACAAGAGAAAAGTAAAATAGAAATGAATATATAAAAAGCTAAAACGAGCTAAAAACAGGACTAAACATGACGTCATCATCCACCAGTGACCAGACGAGCTCATCATACAAACACACCTGCTGTTCATCAGCTCCTGAAACTGAAAGCTCTCTAAAAGTCGGGCTTTTCGCAGCGAGGTGACCCCTTCCTACATCAGACACAGACGGACAGCAGCTCCTACCCAAGATGGGTTTTTTTGGACGTGAGTGGTGTTGAATAAAAGACCAGTGCCTCCAGTTTACAGCTAATCAGACAAAAGAAAATTTAGTTAACTTGTGTCTTGACTCATGAGCTACTAGCTAATGTAATAAGCTAGCTAAAGTAATTTATCATGGCCATACAGGCTCTCATACTTTAGGCCTGCCTAATAGACACCACAGCTGAATACCTATACTATAAAACTGGATATAATTGATATGCACAGTAGGCAAATTCAAATGTTCTAGTTTGCATACATTTAACTACAGTGAAAACATAACTAAAGCATTTCACCACAGAACTTCCTCAGTTAATGACTTCCATCCGCTGAAATGTTGTTTAAATATGCAGATTCCACAGCATTCTATTCATTTAGAAGAAATCTACAAATGCACACAGATGGAGAGTAGTAGGCTAAAAATAAAATCCATCTAAAAAAGGTGCATTTACAAAGTTTTCTTTCCATTAGAGTGAAAGAAGACATGGAAGCAAAATACAGTTCACATCTTAACATCTTAAAATTCAAATTGACCATTCCATGAAAAAAAGTGTCCTGCCTGAAACAGTAAATTCATCATTTTGATGTTAGGCTCCCCATTTAATAACTATCTGTTCTATTAGTTTGTTGTATGCTGATAGATCTTTACCTGATACACACAGGCCTCCCTCAAATGTGAAAATAAGTTCTTGTCCTGTGTGAGTGTGACAAACCTCAGATCGAAATCCAGGGGAGGAGAGGTAAGTACAAGTATAAATGTGGCAATGGATAAACACAAACACAAAGGTAGCGATAGCCGCACAGCACCTGATGCACATGGTGCAAACAAAACAGTAAATCACACTACCCTTAACCACAGGACTTCCACTGTCGCCACTGTCGGTTCATCCAGCAGCTCACAGTTGGTCCTCGTGGTCCAACAACTGCACTGACTCGACTGTCTCTGCTGACTACCACACGCTCACTGCAGACTCCCAAGCGGTAGACACCGTTTCTCTTACTGCAGACCACCATATCCTCCCACTCAGCAGCTTCCTGCTCCAGCCCTCGACTCTCCACTGATTAGGAGAGAGGAATCAGCCGCGCTCCTCCAGCATTGGGGGCGGGGAAAGGTCCTGCCTAGGCCAGAGAAGAAAACACACAGAACATCCCACATACACATGAACGGCCCTCGGGTCGTAACAGTGAGTTTGCACAAGCAGTAAGTGTAGTTATAAAAGCAATAATAATGACTATATGAAAGTTAAATATATTCAGCCAATTCAGTATTCAGCTTTTTTGACTTGAGCCCCTGCCTCCAAAAATGTTTGTGCACACGCCTGACTGCAGCACCCCCATGTAGGATTCTCCACTGTGAGTGAGCTGTTTGCTTCTTTAAAGGAGGTTTAGGCTTCACAGTGTTACTGACACCAAGTTTCTCCAACCACACCGGGTCCTTTCTACCATCCTACCTGTTCTTACAGAACACTGTAACACCTAGAGATCATGTTACCAGTCACAGTGTGCACATCTGAATGTTTCCTCTGTTCTCTGGATGGCACTGTGGTCAGATACAGCTAGGTCGATGCATTGCAGCTGGGAGGGAGTAGTAACAGTGGAGCACACCAGATCCAGTGTGTGACCTTTGGTGTGAGTGGGACCTTTGACGTGCTGAATGATGTTGAGGCAGTCCAATAGTGACAGGAAATCAGCAGCAAAGGGACAGCTGTTAAAGTCCACATGGATATTTAAGTCTCCGAGCGGGAGTGTGGATGGAGACGTGGAGCAGATGGAGATGAGTAGCTCTGATAGCTCGGCCATGAAGATGGTGGAGGTTTTTGGGGGCGATAAACAAGGACCACTTGGAGCTGTACAGACCCAGCCAATGTGAAACGAAGACACTCAAATAAGGTGATGTTAGGCACAGGAAGTTCTTTCACTGGGATGTCAGCTTGGTGGACAACAGCCAGACCACCACCACAGCCCGTAGAGCGAGGCTTCTGTATGTACGCCTGGTGGGGTGGCTTGGTTGAGTGTCATAAAATCCTGCTGATTTTGCCAAGTTTCTGTTAAGCAAAGAAAATCCATTTTCCATTTTCAGAACAACCTGGAGCTTAACACACTGAAAACTGTGGAGATGACCGTGGACTTCAGGAGGAGCCCCCCCCCCCCCACTCTGCCCCCCATCACCATACTCAACAGCCTTGTCCTTCAGGTTTCTGGGTTCCACTATATCCCAGGACCTGAAGTGGGAGCCCCAACATGGACACCATCATCAAGAAGGCCCAGCAGAGGATGTACTTCCTGCGTCAGCTCAGGAAGCTCAACCTGTCTAAGGACCTGCTGATCCAGTTCTACACAGCCATCATCCAGTCTGTTCTCTGTACCTCCATCACTGTCTGGTTTGGATCTGCCACCAAAAAGGACAGGAGCAGACTACAACAAGTCAAGCCGTAACTCTGATGAACAGCTGATTTGTGACTCAGTGTCAGGAACAGTTCCTGTACAATAACCCAGTAACTCTGCCTCTAATCAGCACCTGTTTATTGGTTACCATTTATTTTTTATTCACCATCCTCTATTTCAGTGCTGTTCATAGTATCACGTCATATTGTCATATTGTATATACATCCTTTGCACTATGCTCCATCGCACTGTCTACATATGTACATGTATGCATGTATGTGTATGTGTACCTGTATATCTCATCCACCTCCGACATGTACATAATAATGATAATATTTTTCTCCTGCATACTTTGCACTCTACTCACTGCACTACTGGTCAATATGTCAATATTGTGTATGTTGTCTACACTGTAGCCTGTGTGTGATTTATTTTATCATTGTGTTTTTGTATTATTGTATGAGTAAGCACATCGTGAGCAATGTACAATCCTGAGTCAAATTCCTTGTATGTGTACAAATACCTGGCAATAAAGCTGATTCTGATTCTGATAGTCCTGATCCTTCCCACCTGTGTTGCTCCCACCTGCTCTTTTGAGCACCTTGTGTTGTCCCACATTAAATCCATCATAGACCCACTCCTGGACCCCCTGCAGTTCGCCTACAGAGCCAACAGGTCTGTAGATGATGCAGTAAACATGGCCCTTCACTACATCCTCCAGCACCCGGACTCCCCAGGAACCTCCAGCAGGATCCTGTTTGTGGACATCAGCACTATCATCCTGGCCCTCCCAGGACCTCAAGTGGGAGCTGAACATCACCTCCCTCATCAAAAAGGCCCAGCAGAGGATGTACTTGGATGGTGCACTTCTACACCGCCATCATTGAGTCCATCCTCACCTCCTCCATCACCATCTGGTACGCTGCTGCCACTGCAGGCTGCAGAGAAGGTGATTGGCTGCAATCTTCCATCACTTCAGGACCTGTACGCCTCCAGGACTCTGAGGCGAGCAGGAAAGATTGCAGCTGACTCCTCCCACCCCGGACACAAACTGTTTCAGACTCTCCCCTCTGGCAGGAGGCTGCGGTCCATCAGGACATCAAGACATCGCCACAAAAACAGCTTCTTCCCATCTGCAGCTAGCCTCATTAACAAGACCCAGGTCCCCGACTTACACTGCACTGTAACTTTTACTGTCCTGTTTTCTTTTTCTGTGTTTTTAGCTTTTTACCATTGATTTTAAGTAAATATTTCCATTTAACTCTTTTCACCCTGATTGTAACACTGTAACTTTTATTATTTTTCCCTGTTGCTTTTATGTTTTGTAGCACCTTATCACTAAAGCAAATTCCTTGTATGTGTAAAACTACTTGGCAATAAAGCTCCGTCTGATTCTGATTCCACTTTTCAACCTTCCTGTCAGAGAGGTTTGAATTGAACACAGACCTTCATTTCCTGTTATTTCCATTTACAAACTGTTGCTGCTATCAAGAACGACACCAAGACTCCTGCCACTGTCACTGACAGCCAGGGAAGGAAAGACACACTCACATTCATCATCCCATTGGTCTTCAGCAAACCTCTGAGGACTTCTGGCAGGGAAGCACAGACCTCCTCCGCCAGCCTGAGCAGCAGTCTGCTGGATCTGATGCTGATGAGGGACGGAGGTCTTCATGAGGTGGCCCAGCTTCACACAGCCCGGCTCTCTCAGTCTGGATCTCAGGCTGACAGAAGACAGAACCTGAGAGCTGATCCAGCAGTTCCCAAACAGCCACATCCCTGTTGTCCTCACAGCTTCCTGCTGGAAGGTGAACACCTGCCACCTGTAGGACAGACAGGTGAGCCAGACCAGTTTGTCCAGAACTGGGCTGAAGCAGGAACAAGTTTGTTTGTTGGTCATATCCTAAGCACCCAGCCCTGCTCAGCTGCAAACAGGCAGTGTCTGTCCACAGCAGGCCAAAGCTGGACAGCTGTCTCTGAGCCGTCTGTCCACCAGGCCCTGTCCTCCCTCTATCAGTCTGAGCGAAAGTATTGATTTATGATCTTTTCCTGACCAAGTGGTTTTGGTGCCTAAACCTAACCAAACTGTTATGTTAACCACTAGTTTTATGTTGAAAGTCTAACCAGACACTGCACGTTTATTCTTGCCCTTCATGTACAGAAACAACGCTAAAGAGTACCCAGGGCGTTCAAAAAGCGACACCAAGGGGTCTTCACAAAGATCAAACTCAGGAGGACATTTAAGCCTATTAAACCGGGTAGCCATCATACCTCCGTCTCCTTACAGAGCGATGACTGATAACCATCTCATCCTTTTTTAATTACAGACAGTTTCTGGTAATTGTCATAGTTGTGAGAACCTTCACATTTTCTCTCTGGTCAATGCAAAGCGCTCACATACAAAGAAAACAACATTTTCCAGCTCTAGTAAATAAACACTGTTGACCTGATTAATGTCAGGGCTGGGGAGAAGCTAACATCAGCTGCCAAGACCACCTCCTCTGATCTGCTAGCAATGGCTCAAGACTGGGAGCTGAAAATCGACCTGGGGACACAACTGAAGTTCCCAGAAACTTCTGCCACAACAATGTTAAGGCCAGACATGTTGCTGATCTCTGAACCCTCCAAGCAGAACCTCCTGCTAGAACTCACGGTTCCCCTGTGGTGTTCAATAAGGGCCAATGTTTTTTTTCTCCAGGAATTTATTATGTCACACTGAAGTTGACCTTGTGGGTAAAAAATGTTATCACTTCATCGTTATATCCTGTTAAACATCTATTGTGATCGTTGTGTGTATCGTTGTGGTCTATTCTCGTCTTGTCTTCTTGTCACAAGATTGCTGACGTAATCTGTAGCCACCTGTCTGAAGCTCCGTCTTACACCAAACTCTTATCCAGTTTTAATCCAGTCTTCTTCGTTACATTTTTTATATCCTTTTTATTAAACTTAAGTTTTTAACTTAAGTTTTACGTGGGTTAAGGATTTTAATCATCCGACATGGATTTTAAGCTAGATGACCGTGAAAACGCGATCAACGCTACTGACCACAACAAAGCTCCGGTGACTATGCAAGCCGAGATAACTCTGCCCCTTGAGGACTGCTCACTCCTTAAGAAAGCGAACAAGAAGATTGTTGACCTTATGGAAGACATCCGACGACTTTCAGAGGAACTCAAAGAGAAAGATTCCCTGCTGACTGGCTTTATGGATGTGGCTTCAGTACAAGCCAAACAGATTGTTTCTCTTGGCCCAACTGCTAACATCCAGGACACCGTGTTTTGGGACCCCTCTAGTCTTCCCAGGCTTTCATCCTGCTCGACTCCGAAGCATCAGTCAACCTGGGCTGAAGTGGTGGTCCGCGGCTGCAAGAGAGGCTCGGACGGGGCTGCCTCTCCTCCGGATATCGGCCTCTCCAACCGCTATGCAGCCTTGTCTAACGACACTCCGGTCCAAGTCTCTGCGGCTTCAAGTCTCCCTGATACGGATCTCTTTTGGCGCACAGTGCCTGCCGACACTGTTGCATCTCCTCCACTACATCTCCTGCACTGGGCCGCCGGTCTGCCGCCGGGCCTGATCGGCGGCCGTCATCCCGGTCAAAAACCTCCGCTTCCCGACGTAGGATCCTGAAGGAGGCTGTGCTCAGAC